CTTTCATCAAGCTTTAGTGCCAACCTACCTCCTGTACTTAAACATTACTTAGTTTTACTCAGCTCGATTAATATATTATATTGTATAGTTTAACTTTTTTTTATTTGCTAATAAAGCTTGTTGTTGTATTCATGATTGTTGAACAAAGATTATGGCCAAAATTACATATTTAAGTGGTGAAATACCTGTGTTAGGAAACATTTTTTTGGTTTTCTCGCTATTCATGCATTTACAAGCAAACTATTAGTTTTAGGCAAATTGATTAAAAAGCCCATAACGTCAAATTTTTTGCTTCCTCATCTGATTCTTCGTAACACCCAATCAACTTTCTCAAAAAAATTTTTTGCTTTCCATAAAATGAAATTTTTCTATAATTTTTGAAAGACGTTCAATTTGCAGGCATTTTGGTCTACCATTCACACTAGTCTTCATCAGTTTGAAGTGAGTAGTGACGTAGGTTCAGGAACACATGATTTGGGTAGTGACTTATCTGACTTTGAAAAAAGTGGGAATTTGCTTCAGAGTTGTCTATATTTTGACGAAAATGCTGGAAAGGTACGTTGCCGCTCTTTGTAACACATGACATATGTATTTATATACACTAAAGGTCAAGTGAGGTTCCTGAACCTATGTCAAAGGCATCAGTCATGTGGCCATTTTGAGCCCATTATTCTTGTGATCAGCGGCAGGGGTCGACCGCAAGAAAATAGAATTTTGAACTTTGTAAAAATTCGTAGAAACATTGCGTTTTATCCAAATCGAAAAATTTTTTTGCAGAAGTTCATGTATGAAAATTATTTCATACCATCCAGATTGTTTGTCTTGGTTAGCCAGACACACATGTAATTCACATCAAACAGGAAATGACCTATTGGGCTAGTGAAAGGAGAGAGCAAAGCATGTTAGTGCTAAAACACAAAGTGAAACATCCATTTTATCAAAATGCTTGTGTCCTTTTACAATGTCTAAGCAAGACAAATTGTGCATTCATGAATGACATCATTATTTGTTTCATCTGTGCTCCTTTGCATTTCAAATTTTTAAAGGAGGATGATCAAGATCTGGTCACATGATACGGAATTAATTATGCTGGGACGCAAGTTACAATGGGACTTTCAAAACAAAGGAAAGTCGGCCTGGACTGGCCTTAGTTCCTTGGTTTTAGAAATCTCACTGTGTAACTTGCATCCCAGCATAATCAATTCCGTACCATGTGAGCGGATCGTGCAAAGGGCCTATTGGTTTGGAAAAGTAGGTTCAATTTTGAAACAACTGATCAAAGTGTACATTATTCACTCAGTGAATTCGAGTATCAATATTATTTGGACAACACTCATTCCAAAAACGGTTGAAGCAATATTTTCAGTTATTCAAGAAATTATAATTTCATATCAGTATTGGGTTTTCAACAGTATTTAAATCTGAAAATGATAACTTTAATATTTTCTGGTACAAGATTAAAACATGAATACATTATTAAAGCATGACATAAGAAGGAAATTACCTTTACCAAGTTGTACTATTCCAATGTTGGTGAGCTTAATTTATTAACTCTGCATGCCAATATGAATGTGTTACTCATTATGAACATGCTTATTGTGAAAAAATAATTCTAAATTATATTACAAGTTGGTAAAAATTTCTGGCTTTTAATAAAATTTACACTTCAAGCTGTCACTCACCTTTCTTTAGCAAACTTGACATAAGTTGAGCATGCTGTTGCATCATAACCATCGTCTGATGTTGCCACATAGCAAATTGCTCTTGCTGCTGCTGCTGTTGGTGTTGTTGCTGCATTTGTTGTAGTATCTGTGGCTGGAACATTTTCATT